GGTGCTAGTGCTAGTGCTAGTAGTAGTAGTAGTAGTAGTAGTAGTAGTAGTAGTAGTAGTAGGAGTAGGAGTAGTAGTAGTAGTAGTAGTAGTAGTAGTAGTAGTAGTAGTAGTAGGAGGAGTAGCAGTAGCAGTAGCAGTAGCAGTAGTAGTAGTAGTAGTAGTAGTAGTAGTAGTCGTGTTGGTGGTGGTGGTGGTGGTGGTAGTGGTAGTGGTAGCGGTAGCGGTAGTAGTAGTAGTGGAAGTAGTAGTAGTAGTAGTAGTAGTAGTAGTAGCAGTAGCAGTAGTAGTAGTAGTAGTAGTAGTAGTAGTAGTAGTAGTAGTAATAGTAGTAGTAGTCGTGGTGGTGATGGTGGTGGTGGTAGTGGTAGTAGTAGTAGTAGTGGTAGTAGTAGTAGTAGTAGTAGTAGCAGCAGTAAAGGTACCAGTGGCACTAGCGGTATAGTAGCAGTAGCAGGAGTAGGAGAGCAAACTGTCCACATATGAAGATACACATCATAGAGATGGATGTACGTATGTAACTATACAACCGCATACAAACATGCATTCCTGCAGCTCTGCATAGCAATAGATGGACACGCGAGCAGCCAGACAGCAAGGCGGGCAGACGGAGATAGACAAACAACACACAGACAGACTGGCGGACAAACGCACGGACGTGATGCCAGTTGTCGCAGCCCCATTTGTGGTTTTCGTGAAAAAGGCGTCCACACAGACGTGGCAAAGTCGGCAGTTCTGAAGCTGGCATAGCCTCCGCAGGCTCATCATCCGTGCCTTGAAGTTGGGCCCTTAGTTGTTCCAGCTTTGTGGCTTTTGGATTCAGGGATGCCAAAGCTTTCGGATTCGGGGATGCCAAATTCCAACGAAAATTATGGGAGCACGGATACATCCCGATCTGGGCTCAACGGCGGGAGCTTGTTGCATTCTCTTTGGAGACCTGAAGCACAACACATGCAGGCTTCCTAAATGCGAAGGTTGCGGCATCGTGTACGACCACGCCGAAAGTCCCACTGTAAAGCATCTCCAACCTACTTGCACCACCGCCACCACCAACGCCGCCGCCGCCGCCACCGCCATCCCCAACACAACCAAGACCACCACCACTACCACGACATGGCTGCTGGTGCTTGTAGTGCAATCTGGCATGAACCTGGGCCTCTCTCAGTCTCTATAACCGTCAGGCTGATGCTCATCCATGGCACAGTTGTCGCTGAAGCTCTTCCTGGCGCCGCAGCTGCTCGTCGAGCTTCTGCTGCAACTGGGACGCAGTGGTGGTTACGTTCGGGTTTGGCCTCAAGTCTTGGGTTTGGGGGCTTTGGGGTCCAGGTGCTTGTTAGTGCTCGGAGGTTTAGGTCGGAGGTTGGGAGTTTCAGCCTTGTGGGGAACGTCCGGCCTCGATGTGCCTCGATTGGTGGCTTTGATGTCAAAGGCTCGTTTGCCTTGATGTCAACTGCTGTCCGAGCTGCATCCGTTGCGCCGGGGCTCGTCCCAAAGCCACCTGGCGCAGCTTCGTGTGGCCACTGCGATGTAACCGCCGACGAAAAGCCTGTCGGCAGTTAGTCCGAAAAAGGCTACGAATTATGCTTGCTTTTTCTGAAATGAACCTGTCATGGCACCTTTGCCATCCGTCTGGCTCACCCTGTCCGTGCTGCCAGCGATGGGCTGAAGCGGACCGCCGCCTGCCCGCCAGCTTTACAACCGAGGGCACGAGGGTGTGGGTGAGGCGTTCGAGGCATCACTTTTTAACCTACACCAACTACAAGCTCCAAAGCACGCAGATCACGCACAAGCCATGGAGCACATACCTGTCACAGCTGCATGCTCTCTTGGGGTAACCTTCCGGAAGGCGAAGCCCCGAAACCACGAGGTCCTCGGAAGTTCCACGACGGAACAGGTCGTTTGTCGACGCCGCCGCGCCGCCTCCTTTCCTTGCGCAGAGTCGGACGGAATGGCCAGCTCCTACTATTTCGGGGTCTGCCTTATTCCGTTTTGTTTCAAACTAAGAACCTGCAAAATTGGGCACGATGCGGCGGAGCGCGCGCGTTCCACAGAAGCGAGCCAGTGCGCTGTGTCGAGGCCGTGGATCTCATGGATGGGCCGCCTATCACAAAACTTACATCTGCAGTAATGGCACAAGCTGTCACCACCAACAACATTATCAACAGATCAAAAACAATCCTGACGACAAAAGGCATGACAAGACGGACAACAAACAAAATAAGCACTTTCGGCAAACACACACGAACACACACGCACACATGGTGGTAATGTAGAACGTCTCGAGCCGTGTAGGTAGTTCAGACTTGCGCACGCCTCATGGAGCGCAGCACGGCTTGGAGAGCCGGCCTGGCTTCAGCGCTCGGGACACCGAGCTTTAAGTAGATCTATGCACCCACACAGCGTATATACATAACATACATACGTGCACATACACATCACACATGGAGCAAACGATCTGCATCTATAAGTCTTCAGTTGTTGGGCGTTGTTCAGTTGAGTTGCGATCGTTCTGCTGCTTATCGGCTGAAGATGTGCTCTTGCAGGAATTGTCAGGCGTAAGGGTTTCAAAACCCTGCGTGGACTGACAGGTGTGTCTGCAGGGACCCCGGCCTTTCCGGCTTAAGACCTAAAGCGGCGAAACCCGTTCGGATAGATTATCATGTGGCTTCGGGCGAAGGTGTTTGTATGTTTGTCGGGATTTGGCTCTGCCCACGGGCCCATCAAAGACCGCACCGATCCTAGTGATTTACTTTGGTGGGTAGCGCCCCTACTCCTCTGTTTCCTGTTGCCCGTCTGCTAAGTCTTGATGCCTGGGCTTGGAGGTCTCCCGCCCGAGGATGCCCATGGACACGTCGTAGCGCTTCGACATGTTCCTTGGTGCGGTCGAGGGCGTTCTTTCACAGCTGGGCAGATCACAACACCGACTACGACAAAGACAACCACGACGACAGCAGCAGCAGCGACAGCAACGTCAGCCACACCGGCAAGGGCGACGTCAACGACAACAGCAACAGCTGCTGCTGCTGCTGCTGCTTCTACTATCTACTATCTACTATCTACTATCTACTATCTACTATCTACTATCTACTACTACTACTACTACTACTACTACTACTACTCACCTCCTGCCGCTGCTACTGACTCCTCGTCGACCACCAACACCGCCAG